AAAAAAAAAAAAAAAAATCTAACAACAACAATTGTTGGTGAGGGTGTGGCAAAAAAAAATAACTCTCCTACACTGCTGGTGGGAGTGCAAACTATTTCTAGTCTATAGAAATCTGTGTGGAGGTGCCTCCGATTACTAAAAATGGAGCTGCCATTTGATCCAGCAATTCCACTCCTAGGGATCTACCCAAAGAACACAAAAACATTAATTCAAAATGACACATGCACCCCTATGTTTATTGAAGCACTATTTATAATAGGTAAGACTTGGAAACAACCCTAATGCCCAAAAATAGATCACTGGATCAAGAAGTACATACACTCAACTGAATACTATTCAGCCAAAAAAAAAAAAAATCTAATGCCATTTTGGCAACATGCATAGAATTAGAGGAGATTGTTCTCAGTGGTAAGTCAGAAAGAAAAGAAAGTATATCAGATGGTTTCACTTATAGGAGGAATATAAGGAAAGCAAATAAAGAATCAGAGGGAAAATAATAATTAGGAAAGATACAACATAACTAAACAAAAATAATCAGACAACTAAATCAGACACATTGTGCTGGGGAGGGGTGAGGGAGTGTCCAAAGAGAAGGCAGGAAGAGCACAGGAGACTAAGGAGACGGTGCCCGGGAGAACTGGTGGTGGGAATTCTATGGGGATACACCTGATGTAAATATATACATGTAAAGAAATTAGATATTAAAATAAATAAAAATCTGCCTAAGTAGGCGAAATAGCAGGGGGTGGGGGTGGGGGGGACAGTTTTACCAAGGGCTGCTGACGTTGAAATCAATCCATTTAACCTAACAATACACACTCCCAAAGAAATAACTTAAGGAAAACTCTCATATTTGCAATGCACCCTATAGAGAACTGAGCTCACATCTGGGTCATAAATAGAAGAGCTGTAGACACACTATTACTTCTATCAGAAGGCTCAGAGGCACACAGGCTCACAACAAGCAAAGTATAGCTCTTTCATTGATACTGATCAGTGAGTTTAAAGAGAAGTAAATAAGCATTTTGTCCTTATTTTAGGCCAGAGAAGCAGAACCCAGGGGGTTTCTGTCACAGGAGTGACTGTTTCAAGTTTCCAGAATTGGTGCACACTCTGGGCTCCAGAAGCTTGTTTTATGCCTCTGACAACAGCTTCACATTTCTGCACAACAGCTCATCTTCCTGACGACACAGTGATAAGTTATATCTGGCCTTCTCTCCTTGGCCCTTCACCCCTACTCTTCTCTCACAGGAGTAAGAGAATTTCAATATAGCCCATGTGCAAGGGAGACATCAGCCTGAACCATGTGGAATCTCAGGGGCCAACCTTTAGGAATCTGTTCTCTGTGCCCAAAATAGAGTCTGGAGAGCCTCGATTTCCCATCACATCTCAGCTTTGGTTTCGGGCTGTTTTGGTCAGAGGAAATGTCCCCTGTCACTAATATGGCCCCATGATTTGCTTTTCTCTAGGAAAGCAAGAAAGCAAGGATGAACAGATTAGTTTTCAACACCTTCCTTTCTTTATTCCTTCCCCTCTGACCCCCTGCACTCATCTGTGACTCATCTGTGTCCAAACCAACTGTCAGGGTCTCTGACCAGCAGCCTCGCCTGCCTCTGATCCCTCAAGTCCCCAACCATCTAGGCTCTCACGCTTCTGTTAGAATAGCTTGAGATGTGGAAACGCCTCCATGGGATGTGGTATTTGCCCATCAGAGAGTCACAAAGATTGAGGTACATCTGAAGACCAAACTCATCCCCTACACTTGGAATAATGAGGCTTCCTCTCACTTTGGAAAGCAAAAGGTGACCTTCCCATCAAGGGCAGCAAAGGTCAAGGAGAGAGGATCACCAGGGACCAAGATTTAGCCTCTGATTGGGAAATGATGAAAACGGAGACAGAGGGGAGGCTTCAGAGGAGGTGTCTCCAAACTGCACAGGTTGCTTGCTACCTGAGTAGAGAGAGGCAATGTTGAGATTCCACCTTCATATTGTTTGATTTAAAATACAATTGCCATTTTAGAGTTCACTGGGAATGTGAATTATAATACATCAATGTTTTTATCTTTGCAGGTCTATATTTCTAGTGGAGGAAAAACCACCAGTAGACAGTTTTAAGACTTCTGAAAGATTAGGAGAGACCTGGGCAGTGCAATGCAAGGGGAACTGCTGCTTCAGGAGCAATTTACTTATGTGAACCAGCCCCACCTCAGGAAAAATGAGAGTTTTGGTAACATATGTCCTTGTCTGGCCTCTTGCTATAAAGACACCCCTTGTACCATGTCTTCGGGCACAGATAGCACCTCCACACACCCCTGGATGCTCAGCTGCACAGAGAACTCAGACATCCTCTCAGCTCCCCGTCCATCCCTGCCCTTACCAGTTACTATAAACTGCTTCCTTCTCCTTTGAAAATTATGTTCGTCCCCTCAATCCCATTCTTCTCAAATCCCCCAATGCAATTCATTTTGAAGCCATCAAATAAAATAAATATATGTCATCTTTTTGCATAAAGCACACAAATTAATATGTTATTCCCTCTACTACTGCCTTGTTAGTGCATCGCTAAGTCTGCCTCCAAAGTTGAAGTTTATACAAATGTTTTAAAGAAAATAAAGTATGTCTTCAGTAACAATGAAAAAACTATTTTATCCACAGATTTTTTTGGCTGTACTGGCAAAGGAACTATGAATATTTATTTTTACAGTTAGAAAGGATATATATTTGGCACAAATCCATACAGTCCTCTGATTTGCTCAGGGATACTCCCTGTGTCTCTACCCTTACTAATCTAGTGCAAACCTGCATTTCACACTATCCATACAGAAACTTAAAAAGGAAAGTGCATCCTCATTCTGTTCATCCTCACTAATAGTTTCACTGTACAAGTGGACTTTGCGTGGAGATTTGCATATGTGTAACTCTTTCAAAAAGTAAATTATGAAAGAATCATGAAGATTAAGCAGGATGGTAACAGAATAATTCACTCTGTCAGGTAAGGCCAGTGGAGAAGAAAGGATTAGTAGTTTCGTTAGAAGTAAAGGATGCTCACCGTTTCCAGAAGCTTTGTGCCCTTGGGACTATGGAAAGCTGGACTGTGTCTCAGAGCGCTCTGGCCCATCTAACCCTGCTGTCCCAACAGACACCAGCCTCCTAGGAACTTTCCATTCCCTGAGCACCTGGAAAATGCACTGACCATACCTGAGCAGATGACTCCTGCATCCTCCCAATGAATGCAGAAGTGTTTCCCCCAGCCTCGGAACGGGCACTTCCACAGGTGAGACTCCGTCCCCGTGCACTGAAGCTCATGCAGCCAGATGGTCCCTGATCCCACCCCGAAGTGAGCAGAGACCGTGGCGTTGAGGGCGACTCCACAGCCCAGCTGTCTGCACACCACGTGGGCATCATTCAGGTCCCAGCCGTCATCACACACGGTGCCCCAGGAGCCCTGGTGCAGGATCTCCACTCTGCCGGCGCAGCGATGGCCTCCGTCCACTAGGCGGAGCTGTGTGCTGTCTGAGGAGAGAGTCAGGTCAAGGGAGCAGGCAACCCAGAAAGGTTTCCCTGTTCCTGGGGACCTTTGTTGAATAGCTGGCAGCCCTCTCCTGTGAGGTTGCAGAGCCTGCTTATGGAGAAACAATGCCTGGGGCAGCACCTCATTTCCTATCCAGCGAGCAGAGCAGTGGAGTTGAAAATAGGAAAGAATAGGAGAAATGTATATATATATATATATGCATACACACACACACACACACACACACACATACACATAAATAAAATCCCATGATGGGGGCCTTCCCTGGTGGCACAGTGGGTTAAAGCACAGCATTAAGAAGCTAAACCCACTTCAGCATGAGTTTGATACCCAGAGGTGATCCCCATGGTGCACCAGACCTCTCCTGACCAGCCTGATGCTCCCCTCAGCAGTGTACTTCATCAATCTGCCTGTTCTGCTCCCCACTTTGTTTCTGGTGAATCCTCTCACCCTCACACCTCTGGCCTGTACCCCAGTTCTGTATGCATAAAAAATAAATCTTTAAAAAGAAAATGTAAACCAGCACTAGCAACAGCACATGGGTGGAGACAGACACACACAGGAGTCACCTGCACACGTGATAGAAGCTTCCTCTCTTGCAGAGCACGAACTGTATTTCCAAGGGTCAGAAGGACACTGCCAGAGAGAGGTATCCATCTTGCGACACCGGATTCCATCTACCCATCGGGGTCTAGAACCTTCCCTAGCACCAACCAAAGGGTTGAGGGTCCCGCTGTCCCCACAGCCAAGATGTCTGCAGATCACAGACAAAGTCACGGCGTCCATGGGGCTGTTGCACACACCGCCCCAGGTCCCATTGTAGAAAACTTCCAGCCACCCTGCACAGACCTGGTGCTCGTTCACCAGCCTGAGGGCCAGGAACTCTGGAAGGGAAAGGGGGAGATGGGTTACCATGAGCACACCATTCAGGGACCTTGGCAGAGAAGGAAGGCTGGATGCTGCTTCCTGACAAAATTACAGAATATGTAAAAGGGGGTGTGGTGAGTGGTGTGTTGGGGGTGGGGGAGAAGACTGAACCCCAGAGATGTCTGCATCCTGGTCCCTAGAACCTGTCTGTATTATCACCTTATATGTGAATATATTACCTTGCAGAATAAACTGTATAGATATTACTGTGATGTGGACCTTGGAAAGGTGAGACTAATCTGGATTAGCAGGTAATCCCAATGTAATCACATGTAGGACCTGCTGTCTAAAAGTGGAACGCCATATCTGGCTTTGGATAGAGAGAGAAGTGATGATGGAGAATGGTGAGAGATGTGAGCACTGCTGGCCTGATGATGCAGGTAGGGGCCCTGAGCCAAGAAGTACAGACAGGTTCTAGAGCTTGAAACTGATTCCTCCTCAGGAACTTAGAAATGATACAGCCCTGTTGATATCTTGATTTTAGCCCAGTGAGAATATGTTGGAATTCTAATTGAAAGAACTGCAATCTAATAAAGTTGCTATAAACGACTAATTTAGAAAAATTAATGGAAACCAGTAGAGTGAGTTTCAAGATTCCATTAGCATAAGTAACTGAAAAGTGAGTCCCGCTTGCAAATGAAAATTGCAGGTCGTGGCTCCTTCCAATATTGCTGAGAAGGAAGGACCAGACTCTCCTGCCACAGGAAGGGGGAGGAGTCGTATCCTCACATCCACTAGATACTCCGGTCCACTGGAGATGGATTCCTTTCCCTCTGTTTTTTCACACTCGGCCCAAGTGATCAGTACCCTCCATACCCCAGCAGCCCCCTAGACAATGCAGCACAGACCTGAGCAGATGACCCCGGCATCCTCCTTGTGTCTGCAGTCATGGTGTCCCCAGCCCTGGGACGGGCACTTCCACACGTGGGACTCGTTTCCTGTGCAATGCACCTTCTCCAGCCAGATGGGCCCTGATCCAGACCCAAAGTGAGCAGAGACCGTGGCTTTGAGGGCCTCTCCACAGCCCAGCTGTCTGCACACCACTTGGGCATCACGCAGGTCCCAGCCGTCATCACACATGGTGCCCCAGGAGCCCTGGTGCAGGATCTCCACTCTGCCGGCGCAGCGATGGCCTCCGCCCACCAGGCGGAGCTGTGGGCTGTCTGAGGAGGGAGAGTCAGGTCAAGGCAGCGTCTAACCTCGAAGGAGAAACTTCTTTTGGTCCTAGGGATCTCTCACCTGAGCAGTTGGCCGCACCCTCCTCTGAGGCTGTGGAACCTGCTGGTGGAGACTGTGAGTGGGTGCACTGGGGCAGCCTCTGGGTCTGGTTTCCTGCAGAGAAGCAAGATCAGAGAGTTACTGGGATTGAAGAGCAGAAAACAAAATTAACCTACACAGTAAAGTAGGGTCTGAGGTGAAGGTAAAGGGGTAGTCATGGTATCATGATTTCAATATTTACCTTCTGAGTATAGTTTCTGTTTTAAGACAAACACTAAGAATCACTGAGAATGAATCTATAAAAGCAAGACTATGCCAAGTGTTTGATGGTGTCTCAGAACTCCCAAAGCTCCCAATTTTTGAGCCAAATGCTCAAAGACAAGCAAAAGCAGAGCTGATCTTCTTTCCCCTTGAAATCTTTCTCGATTCAGATTTAATAGATGACTCTGAAAACTGCAACAGATTTGGAAGCAGAAATAGTAAAATGGAAGATCAGAGGAAAACATACAGAATATAGCACAGGATAAAACAACAGAAAACATGAAAGGGGAAACTAGAGATAAGATGAAAGGTCCCAGCTGCATGTGTATGAAGTTTTATTCCTTAAACCCACAACTGAAAGAAGGAAAACCCACTATCACAGTGGAACACTTCATACACCTCTGTGGTGTTTATATCCACAAAATCTTTGCTGCTGCATCCATTGAGGAATGCCATCTCACCACCTTCTCTTGCATCTTGACCGACCTCCGCGATGCCGCGGAGGCAACACTGCTGGCTTCCGGCACCAGCACAGGAAAGACCCGCAGCCTCCCAGCCCCACTGGGGACGCTGCTTTAGGGAGCTGCTCGGGGGAGCCTGTCCTGGGAGAGGCCACAGGCAGAGGCCTGCCATCCCCTCAGGGAGCACCCTGGGCTCCCTGCTCGGGCAGCTCTTGTGTGACTTCAGCCCAAATGATAGTGACGTGAAACTGCCAGACAGAACTGCCTAACTGGGCTTCCCCGAATTCCTGACCCAGGAAATCATAGAAAAATAGAATGCATTTATGTTTCTGTTGCTAAAGTTTTGGGGAAATTGGGAGCATAGCAATAGAAACCAGGACACTTAACATGAGGCCTAAAAAGATAGAATACTTTTCTTCAACAAAGCTTCTCCTACAGAGAATTTAAGATGTATCTTGCAGGACTTGTCTATGGATGTTCAGAGCATCTATTTACAGAGGCCTAGGCTTGTTCCTTTGGGTCAGACAGTAAGCAGAAGTTAGAAGGGCTTATCAGTAGAAGGCTGATGAATTTGGTGGATACTACTGGTGAAGGACTAAAGGACCAAAGAGAATGTGATCTAAAGAAGAAAAGTAAAATAAGTGCTTTCTATGCCTGCATTTTGATGCAATGTATATTCAGAAAACATAAGTAAAACTTCTGTCTGTTAAAAAAGCTATTAGTAGGTATTTGGAAATCTGAATGGTATGATTTGCAAAACAGTGGAATACACAGTACTCTTAAGAGCAGGTAGACCATTTGCCAAAACTTATTGTTATGGAAAAAATTAATTTAAAAATGTTTTTCAAAGGAAAAACTAAGAAAAACATATAATCATATGCTTTGACCACAGAGAAAGCTAGAAACAAAATAAAACTTGTAAAAAAATTAAACTGCACTAATGTGTATTTTTCATACAATGAAACACCCAACATTAAGAGTAGAGGATACATTTTGACAAAAATTTGTATCTTCATAACCCACTCTTTACTCATGAACCAGTTTTCCCACACCCAATATGAGGGACCCGAGCCCCCCGAGTGCAGTCAGCCCCCTCTCACCTGAGCAGGTCACAGAGGCCGTGTGTCCAGGGCTGCAGTCAGGAGCGCCCAGGGCAGTCACGGGGCACTTCCACAGGAAGGACTCAGCCCCTGAGCAGTGAAATCGGGCTTTCCAGACCTGGGCAGCTGCTCCCCCAGAGTGTGCTCCTTCGGGGGTGGACAGGGCGACCCCACAGCCCAGCTGGCGACACACAACATGGGCATTGGCCAGACTCCAGTGGGAGGCGCAGAGCGCCCTCCAGTGCCCTGAAATACGCATCTCCACCCGCCCCTCACAGCGAGAGCTGCCGCTGTTCATGAGCCGGACTTCTGTGTATGCTGGGAGGAGAAGACAGAGATTCAGCCAAAGCTCATGTGTTTCTAACCCAGGAGAGTAAGCAGGGAGGTTGAATCCAGCTCAGGTCTCACCTGAGCAAACGAGGCGAACAGCCCCGCGGTGGTGGCAGGTGCCTCCTGGACAGGGCACCCTGGGGCAGAGCCAGAGCCTCTGCTCCTGCCCCTCACACCAGAACTCCTCAGGCCAGACCCGTCCATCTGACTCTCTGAGGGGTACACCCTGCAGGACAGATGCAGCCTTGCCACACCCCAGCTCTGCACAGATGACCTGGGCGGTGAGCGATGTGAAGTTCCAGTCAGACACTGGAGTCCAGTCTCCTCTGGAACGCACCTCCACTTGCCCTGAGCAGGGCCCACCCCCTCCAGCTAGACGCACAGCTAATTCTAGAGAAAAGAAAAATAAGAGAGTGATCAGGACCTGGCAGTCCATGTGCAGGCAACGGTTTGAATACCTTTCTTTTACTAGTGACAGATGTGGAGAATTTAATAGTCAGAATTGTTGTTTCATGCGCAACTTTCTAAAGAGAAAGATTTGCAGGGTCACTTTGAATGACTGAATCCCAAGAATATATACTCTTTGAGGTGTTAGAATATGAATAATTTTTGGTGACAAGAATTTCTTAGGTCACCCTGTTGTGACAGAAGCTGTGCACAGATGAATGTGGAGCTCACATAGCTCACCGTATGTACAGGAGGCTGATACTGGTGTTTGCTCCGGAAGCCCTGGAGCTGTCACTGAAACTGCAGGTGAGTGGGAGCTTCTTGGGAGATCACTAAACACCTGAATGTGCTGATCCCTTCCTATACAGGCTTTCTTCCAAGACCTGGAAATGTTAGGGAATGAGAGCGATTGATGTATCCACTAGGTTAACTTTATATACCCCGATGTGTGGGTTCTTGAATAAGTGGCATGCAGTAAAAAAAGATGCAGGAAAGGAGAGAGGAGAAAGGACAAAGGAGAGAGGAGGGGAGAATACAGTAGTTTGGAGTCTTTCAGCATGCACAAGTCTGAAGGTGGATGAAAGACACAAATATTTGGAAAAAATCATTGTCTAGTAAGATTTGGATACACTCATCATCCTATACTTCTCGCATTCGCCAATTATCCCAGCAAGCCTTTCTTATCTCTTTCACTTAGATAATAAAAAACAATCTAAGAGTTACAATGGTTGGAAAGAAGAATCAAAAATGGCAGCAATGACTATATAAGAGGGGATAGGGTGGGATGCACGGTAGGTTATGTTGGGAGTAGGTAAGGTTTAAATTTAATGAGGGAAACTAAAGAAAAGATGCATGTTCATCATTCAGTGCTTGCTATTTTGGATAGAATGAAGGTAATTGAATTAAAAATAATGATCTAGTCATAATGAATAACTTGTCATATGCTTGCCTGGCTTCTGAGTGAGCTCATATTAATTTTAGACATGGTAGAATTCTTTCTGGTAAAGGACTCTGTAAACATGCACACTCTGAAGCATGTATGATAGGATTTCTGAAGAATGTTCTAAAACCATAAAAATATGCAACAAAGAGCAAGTAAGAGCAGAAATGACAGTGCGAATTAAAGAATTGGAAGGTAAGGTGACACTACCCTATGTTTATTGCTGCTCTATTTACAATAATCTACACAATCGTTTCCCATAAAGCACACAAATGAACATTTTATCGCCTCTACCATTGACTCATCAGTGCCTCCAAGTTTGAGTTTATACAAATATTTTGAAAGTAGATAGAGTGTTTTCCAGTAACACATTCCATAGATTGTTGGTCCTCTGATTTGTTCAATGATATTCTCTGTGTCTCTACTCCTATTAGCCCACTGAAAAATCCTCAGAGACTACTAGCCAGGGAAAGTTTATCCTCATTCTATCCCTCCTGTTTCAGGTCCATTGTATAAGAGTTCATGTGGTAACTTGCAAATGCTCACTCTTACAAAAAGTAAATTAAAAAGGAATTATAAAGATTGATTTTAATCAGGATGATAACATAATAAGTTACTTTGTCAGATATGACCAATGTAGAAGAAAGGATTAACAGTTTCTTTAGGAGTAAAGGATGCTCATCATTCACAGATGCTCTGTGCCTTCGGGACAATGGAGAGACAGAATGTGTGTCAGAATTCTCTGGCCCATCAATCTCTGTTATCCCAGGTCAGACACTAACTTCCTTGGAACTTTCCATTCCTTAAGCTCCCGGAAAATGCACTGACCATACCTGAGCAGATGACTCCTGCACCCTTGCCATGATCACAATTCTTCCCAGGGTCCCCAAGTGAACATTCCCCCACATGGGACTCATTTCCTGTGCACTGCAGCTTGTTCAGCCAGATGGGCCCTGATTCCTTCCTGAAGTAAGCAGAGACCGTGGCGTTGAGGGCCTCCCCACAGCCCAGCTGTCTGCACACCACGTGGGCGTCTCGCAGGTCCCAGCCATCATCACACACGGTGCTCCAAGAGTCCTTGTGAAAGATCTCCACTCTGCCGGTGCAGGGATGGCCTCCGTCCACCAGGCGGAGCTGTGTGATGTCTGCGGAAAGAGAGGACCAAGGGCATCTAAACTGGAAGGCGAAGTCTTTCCTGGTTCTGGGCCCTTCGTCTGAGCCACTGACATGCCCTCCACTGAGGCAGCAGAGCCTGCTAGAGGAGACACAGTGCTTGCGCTGGACAGTACCTGGTGGTTTCCTTCAACAGCAAGCAGAGCAGTAGAGTTGAAAATAGAAAAGAACAGGAAAACTATAGCTGAAATCAACTAGTGAGCAGTCTGAGAGCAGGTGTTACCAGGACCTGTCAGAGTAACCCTGATGTAGGCTTTTCTGCACAGCATCTGAAAAGATGTCTAGAGATGTCAGAACCTCTGCCCTGAGCAGTTAAATGAGTGCAGGATCCTGTAATGGGCTAGTAGCTGAGTAGACTCCTTATAAATCACACTCACTTCTGTGCTATTGAATAGGAAACTGCAATGGGTTTATCAGAAGCCTCAGGCAGCAGCCATGAATTCAGTTCCAGTCAGAGTTGTTCTTGATATAGTCACTCAGAGTCAAAAGTAAATGGACCATGAGATGGGCCATCAATTACCCAGAATATTTCATTTACAAATCTAGGCTTCAGAGCATATCCTCTTTGAATAGACAGGGCCAATTCACATGTCAGTTGACACTAACATTCACCAGACCCTTCTGGAGCAAGCTATTGTGAATTTATTTTCATTTTCTAATTGAAACCAAATTTTAATTGATTTTAAAATTTACATGGAAGAAAGTTACAAGGACCTTAAGGATTCAAACTAGATGTGAAGGGAGTAGATATTAAAAATAATAAAACAAATTATGTTCCTGTCTAGCAATAGACAAGAATGGGAAGGAGCAGAATATGAAGTATTTAATCATCTCAAAAAGTGACATAAAAATTTAGTGTCTGTGAAGTGAATTTTTGTTTTTAAGATTTATTTATGCATACAGTACTGGGGTATAGTTCAGAGGTGCAGGGGCTGAGAGGATCCTCCACAGACAGAGTGGGGAGCAGAACAGGCAGATCAGCAAAGTACACTGCTGAGGGGAGCAGTAGGTAGGTCAGGAAATGTCTGCCCCATGGGGCACCTTCCTGGACAGAGGTTGAATTCATGCTACAGTGGCTGCAGATAGCTTCATAGTGCTATGCTTTAACCTGCTGCACCACCAGGGAGAACCAGGAATATTTTAAAGTACTGAAGAAGATACATTATTCAGCAGATAATATTGAAACATATAGAGATAAATTTGATATTCATCTCCAAAATAAATGTTATAATTAAGCATATATATATATATATTATATGAAGTGAAGCAGAACAAATTAGGAGAAAACATAAGCTATGTAATTTCTTTCAGAAACGCAGTTGAATGAAAGTAAAACTAATTCTAGGGTTTTCTTAGTAACATGATCTTTTCCAGCATGGCAACTAATGCGACCTTCTGATTTAAAGTCTTTCACCTTGTTGATGTGCTACAAATCCTTTCATTTATCAAAGATATGATAATGAAATTTTTGTTTATTTAATTTGGTATTAATTTTTTAATATACTTATTTATTTCTTAATGGTGGTTTACTTTTTGGAAATTATTTGATTTCCCTATGAGTGTTGTCCCCATTGTTCTCCCACCACCAGAAAATCCATGATCCGTTGCCAAAGATCCTTCTGCTCTCCCCTCCCCCATTTTGACCTCCCTTCATCCCCTTACCCAGATAAAAGCATCAGCTCTATCCAATCTATCAGCTGTAAGCTTTGTCTTTTTCATGACCCTTTGTTTAGTTTTGCTACATTCCTTCTATAAGTGAACCCATAAGATATTTACCTTTTTCCTTCTGATTTATTTCACTGAACATAATCCCTTCTAGTTGGGCATTTTAATGTGGGCAAAACTGGCATTATTATTAAGAAACAGCATGCTAATGTTCCAGCAATTCCATCGATGTTCATCTAATATAAATGGAATTAGAGTCCACCACAGAAAAACACCCAATTCTTTAGTGCTGTTTGTGTATTGTGTATTTGTGTCATTTGTGTATTTATTGGGATGTAGGTGTAGTTTCTATACCACTGAGGGCCAGGGAAGTCTAGCTGACATAGAGCTCCTGACAGGCCCCTCTGAAGAAAGTAAGCGAAATTTCAGGGTGAAGACTGCTTTCTCACTGACAGCTCCTGCCCAGCTCTTTATCCTTTTACTGAAAATCAGTCTAACTGAACTGACCTATGGACCTGAGCCTGATATGTCAGAATAGATTACAAATCTGCCTAAGTAAGTGAAATAGCAGGTTGGGAGAATGCCACTGAAGGGGCATTGATCCATTTAATCCAATACCACAAAAACCAATGGACCAACATAATGAAAACTGAGGGTAACAAACTCCCTGGACTTTGTAATGTGCACTGTAGAGAACTAGGTTCACATGTTGGGTCATGAATTTGAAGAGATGCAGACACACACCATTGTTTCAGTCAGAAGGATGGGAGGCTGCCAGGTCCACGCCTAGCAACATTTGGCTCTTTCATTGATAATCAATGAGCACTAAGAGCTGTACATTATATTTGGGATGCTCAAGCACATGTCCTTATTTTAGTCCAGAAAAACAGAACTCAGGGAGTGGTTGGAGTGACCTGTTCAGGATTACAGAGCTGGCGCACACTCTGGCCTCCAGATGTAGCTTCCTAAGTGCCTGTCTCATGCTCCTGGCAGCAGCAAAATGTCCCTGGTTTCTGCACAACAGCTCATCTTCCTTCAGGCCCAGTGTTAAGTATATGTCTGGCCTCTCTTCTTGGTGCTTCATCCCTAGTCTTCTCTCACAGAGGTGGCCCCATTTTTCAATGAGCCCCATGGGCAACACAAACATCAATCTGCATCA